TTAAATCACCATACGGAACTATTCCCGTGCTTCGAATTCCAAACGGACCTCAATTACTCCAAAACTTACTCCAAACCAAATTTAAAGAACTTTAAAACCTTCAAAGAGCCAATTTTCACTATTAGGTGCTGAAACGCTCCGGATCATCCAAAACCCGATCTGAACATGCGCCCAAGTTCAAAATCATCATATGAGCCTATTTGAACCGTCAAATTCCGATTCCGAGGTCGTTTACTCAAAATATTGACCGAAGTCAAACTTACCCCTTTTTAAAACCAACTAAGGAACCAAGTGTTCCGATTTCAACCCGAACCCGTTCAATTCCTCAACTCACCATCCTCGCAAGTCATAAAACAGTAAAAGTACATACAGGGAGTCTTATTTAGGGGAACGAGATTCTAGATGGCAAAACGACTGGGTGGGTCGTTACACCTGTGCTATTTTCACCGCAGTACCCAATTGACCTAACTAAAGAAGGGGTACTATCACTTTTAGCTCGTGCCAGAAACTATTCATATTTGATAGTCAAAAAAATATATAAAACTTGTAAAAAAATATATACAATTGTTTGGCTATTATTTTTACAGCGGCTATACAGTGTCATTTTTCACAAAAGAAGTCATAACCTTCTTTATTTTATGTATATAAAAAACATATCCACATCGATGTTTCCCTTAACATAGTGAATACATGACACATAGTTTCAGTTACACTTTTATTATTAAACCATACTCCCTCCGTTTTAATTTAGATGAGATAGTTTGACTCGGCACGTAGTTTAAGGAAAAAAAAATTTAAAATTTATTGTCTTAAAAGCTTAAGGGGTAATAGTTTTGTGGGGTCATAACATTTGTATGGTTATAAAAGCTTCCCATTAAGGATAAATGAGTCAAATGAAGAGTTTAAAATAGAATTATTTTCAATTGTAGAAATGTGTTATTTTTTTGGATCGGATTAATAAGGAAAGTGTGTCATCTAAATTGAAACAGAAGGAGCAGTTAATTAATACACATTCTTATCTTAATTTATACAGTATGATGTAAACAACGGATGCTGGTAAGTTTTTGCCCGCTTGATATATGAGTGTAAACTTTATACACACAATTTTCTTACAGTTTATTCATGGAAAAATAGTTGGATTCTGGATAGTTTTGGGTACCTTTTTTTTTTAATACAGATTTTAATACTCTTATTAGACATTGGTAGATCTTAGGAAAGCAAATATGCGTTGGCATTATTGCTGAGAACGAGGAAGACGACCATATATAATTTTGTAGAGAAGAAGGATGCTTAAAATGGACGAGGAGTTGGGAAGATGAAACTTGAAAGCATGTCAAACACAAAGGGAGTGATTGGCATTTTTAAGTCGAGAACAATGACAAGGCAGAAAATCATGGACGAGATTCTAAGTTAAGGTCGTCGATTTAAGTAACTCATTATTTTTTTTACTCGAATAGTGTTTATGTTTAAAAATAAAATATATACCAATAATAAGCCTACACTAACTTTTTTTTTGGTGGAAAATTCCAAGGGAAGACCACCGCCGCTATTTTTCGGATACGCATTGGATAACTCGCTCACTATGCAATACTTCCTCCGGTTCACAATAAGTGACCAACTTGCTTTGGGCACACTCATTAAGAAAATATAAAATTCTAGACAAAAATAGTTAGTGTGACTAAACTATCCTTAATTAAATATTGCAGCATAGTTAATGTGATGAGTAAAAGACTTTTTATGGATACGTACATAAGGGCAATTTTGAAAAAATAAATTAATTTTTTTTTATTTTTTATTATATAAATGGACACTTATTTTGGATCAAAATAAAAAGGCAAATTGGTCACTTATTGTGGACCGGAAGAAGTAGCTTACAAACTACACAGGAGATATAAATCACATTAGGCAAATCCGATATGACGAGCTCTGAGGAACTACTTATGAGAAAAATTGATCTCAAGTATCCTAAGTGAGACATCACTCACCCAGCCAATTAAGCCAATTACACTAACTTTGAATTTGTACAAAAGGACAATGCAAAGTACTCACACCAATCTCATTCTTTTGTCACTTTTGATAAAATTAGATGTCCAAAAATACTTGTCGTTGACAGAAAAAGATATGGCCCCCAGACAAAATCTGCCTGTGCGTCTTCTCGATCGAAGACCTCATACCCATTCATACTACGGAAAAGGCCAAATATATCTCATACCAAGATAAAATGGTCAAATATATCCCTCGTTATACTTTTGATTTAAATATACCTTTTCTGTTATACTTTGGCCTAAATATACATTTCATTTTAATGAAAAGACATTTCATTTTAATGAAAGGACACATGTCATCGTCATATTGATTTATTTTTAACAATCCCTAAATTATTAAAATCCAACTCATAACCCGATATCCAATTAAAGATCCATACTCATAAATCCAATTAAAATGAAAGTTTTGCTCCCTTCTTCTTCTTCGCAGACTCTTCCCTTCTTCTTTTTTTCCTCTGGGCAACTTCGCTCCTTCCTCTCTTTTTTTTCTTTTTTTTTCCCTCGTCCTCTTTCACGTCTAAAGAATACTCCGTAATAGAAACCAAAGAAACATTAGTTTAATTTTGAATCTTTTTGGTTGTAGTAAACGAAAGCCATCAAAATGGCTAAAATGTTTCCTTTTAACTGAACTTGCATGCTATAAACATATGAAAGAAAGTTCAGCTTACGATTCAGAGCAAAGAAGGAAATCAATCAACGTCGACTTTTAATTACTGTGCATTTATAATCCAACATATGTCAATTACTTGCTGTTATGGTGGCAGCTTAGTACTCCAATTTTTTTTGTGTTGAATGTTTATGTCAATAAAGTAGAGTAATTTTTGGGTATCGGGTATGAGTTTTTAATTGGATATCATGTTATAGGTTGAATTTTAATTAATTAGGGGATAGTTTAAAATATACTAATAAATGTGCCCCTTTGTTAAAATGAAAGATATATTTGTATCAAAGTATAATAGCAGTGGTATATTTAGACTCAAAGTATAACAATAGAGGTATATTTGGAACCAAAATATAACGAGGGATATATTTGTCCATTTTTCAATAGTATATGGATATATTTGGTCCTACTCCGTTCATACTATTCTACTCACACTGTATATTTGGATTTGACCGGTTTGGGTTTGACCCGTTTGTCTTGGAGCAAGTAAATTGTTGATGAGTATTTGTTACTATTATTTATGTTTTCGCAACTATCGAGCAAATTCATATCTTTCTGACTCTAAGATTCACATTTTCCTGTCCTCTCAAATCCAAAGCTTATGGCCTCACATACTCTTCAGAGAGTGTCCTAATTTTAAAAAAATATCATATCTTTCTCACGACTAGATCCGCAATTCTATGTTAATCATTAGGCTCTGATTGTCACATGTAATACTTCCAAGAATATATTGTATTTTTCGTTGTTTGGATCAAAATCATGATATTCCAAGATCATAATTTTAATCGGGACTAGAATTTGGATAACTTATCTCATCTTCTAAATGGATAAGTTATAGTGTTAAGATTTGGTATAAAAATAATACCAATTTTAGTTAATATGTTCAATGAAATAAGAAACAAATTTAATCTTAAAGTTTATATCGGAATAATCCACCTAATTCCTTAAACCAAATGATATCTAAGTTCTAACTGGCGACAGTGTTTCAATTTTAAAAATTGTATGGGTATAGGAATGGGGTTGGGATTAGCTCGAGACTCCAGTACTTAAACCTCGAATACTTTTCAATGCACCTTTTGATTTAAGCCACGTGTGCACTAGTATTTTGAAGGCTTGATGGCAGCCACGTTACACCTTCTTCTCATAATTAATTTATACAAGAGCATGTCATCAAGGATAAAATTGAAAGCTTAAAAGTTAAATAACTTTCAAATATAAAAATGAGTTACTCCACCATTTTTAAAACAGATAAAAAAAGACTGAAACAAATGGTGTAATAATTACGACACAGAGCCTCAAAAAATGTTCTTCGACAAATTTTTCTTTTTGGTTGTTGCGGAGGAATAACACTTACTCCAAAATGCACAGGTAAATCGAAATAACTGTTGAAACAGTGACTTCTGCTGCCAATAGTACAGCAGTTAGCAGTAATGTTATGAAATGGATGCATAAGATACAAGAATGGGGCCTTTTCCACATCCCTGTGAAGTATCGCTTGTATGTTTCTAAATTCTTAAGACGTACAAGTAAATAATTGCTCGAGTGGAGGAATCTCCCGATTTAGCAAGTGCCTATCGTCTTAAATTAAAAGAGGCATATGATACAGATGATAAACAGTCGACCAAATTTAGCAGATTATTGGGTGATGATTGGAGAAGTCGAAAAACACTGCTGAAAACCTTGTGCTTCGAATGTATTGATTTGTTTTACGAGGAGTCTGGAGAGCAAAAGCTCTAGTATGATGACCATCAATGCTTACAAACACGCTTGTATGAAGTAACTAGTCATATTCTCCTTCCTTCCCCTTCCCTCATGTTTTCATGAAAATATTTTTCGGGAAAATGTTTTCGGTATTTAGTTGGTGAATAGAAAATATATTACAGAAATCATATGGCTCGACTACAAGTCAAACTTAAACCAAACTGAAAAGTAGAATGTAGTTTCAAAATATAAATGGTTTGATACGGCTTGGAATGTACTCAAACCGTGCTTTTCCAGTTTGGTTAATTCTCCCAAACTATATCAGTAAAAACTATGCACGCCAAGAGCATTTTTTTTACAATTAAAGAAACTCATGAGTTCACGCCAGACGCCAGCACAAGTTTAGCAGGTCCATTACAAAGAAAAGAAATCTACTATACACAGATTTACGTAAGTCAAATGCCCCTGGCAGAATTAATTTCTAGGTCAATAAATACACTAATATGCAGAAGCAACAACCAAGTAATCAAATGGGTCATAAGCAAGTGCACGAGGAATTCACACGTACGCCATTCCATAGAGGCCATCAGACAATTGTTTTAAGAAAAATCAATTAATAACGAAAAGAATGAGCCAGTTTACCTCTTTGAGGCATTAAGGTCACTGTCAATGCATGAAATCAAATAAATCAGAGTAACTTTGGTCCTAAACCTAAAAAAAAAATGAAAAAATCAAATTTACAAATCTAAACGGTGCTTTTCATTTTCTGTTGGCGACAGAGAATTGCAAGTACAAAAGGAGAAGCACTGGAGAAAATTTGGAAGCTGCTGAGAACTTTGCCTCTATAAGATAAAACTAATACCTGTGGGAAGTATGCTGTCGTAAAGTATGCCCCAAATCTTGCATTCCAAGGTTATGCTCCACCCAACTATGAGTACTTCTGAACTCATCTTCCCTGCTTGCTACACCTGCAATGCACATGCTATTTTTTGAGTTGTTTCCTGTGTATTCCCAGCCACTTCTTATCCGAAGCCAGGGAGGTGCTAATTTTGAATTATTGTACTTTTGCTTCCTAAAGTATCTCCTTCCCGAGTTACAAGAGTCACTAGCTCGTTTAGAGCCAAGTTGGTATCCAGTGCCATCCTGAGGCTGGTCTGCTCCAGATACGCTTGGAGGATTTTGAGCCAAGTGACCAGGAGAAGAAGTATGGCAATCTTGTCCAGTATTTTGAGGTAGTTCACTGATTGCCCCCAGATTAGCAGCAGAAGGCACAGATTCTCTTCTATCACGGGGATATGGAGGCAAAGGAGGAAAAGGCTGGAAAGGTATTCCTGGGGCAACAGTCCAAGCATCAAATATTCCTTTTTGAGGAGACCTAAATTGCTGCACCTCAGAAAATGGAATTCCATAAGAGACAGGCAATCGTGAAATGAACCGCTGCTGCAAGTTCCCCGTAATGACTGGCTGTGGATGTTCTCTGCATCTACGTTCTTCGGGACTACAAATAGCTGCTGAAGACGCATCAGATAAAACCCTACAAGCCTCAACCGGGAATAAAAATCCAGGAGGGAATTCATAACCAGGGGGAGCGTCATCATCTAGGACCTGCCTTCTGTCATCATCTACATTGCTCTCATTTCTTGGATCTGGCTTTTCTTCAGCCTCTTGATCCCACCGACTTTTATGCTTGCGTTTCCTTGGCCTAGAGGCTGCCCCGATATCAGAACATGAAGCAGAGGAGCCATCAGGCACACAAGCATCTGCTTGAACAGATGAAACTGTTGAATGGCAGGTATTCTGAGCTGCTTCCGAAGGTTTACCACCCAAATCGCACCATTGATTTTGTGATGCTAGACACCTATTGTAAGGTGAACCAGAATGCATGTTGATTCGGCTGTCATCTCTGTCAATGCAGCTTCTGTTCCTGAGAGGTCTGCATAACCACCTATCTCTAAAGTTCCTTGCAATTTGATGAACCTGACATGCAGTAAATCACATGAATACTTTGTCACCTAATGGTTCTGATAAAGAAAATTTCTAAACAAAGTAATTAACAGGAAAAGACTCCTGCAATCAGGCTACAGATATAAATCAAAACATAGAATCAACAATAAAAACATAACAAGAATGTGAAAAATCTATTGCAATGGGTAAAAGAAAAAAAGGAACAGAAGCATGCACATAAGGTCGAGAAAAAGCAGTAAGAATAAAGTGCATGCAACCTTTGTCCGGCAACACTAGTATATAGCATACTAACCTTCGTGGATAAGACCATAGAGCTAGCCCAAATAGCACCTCCCTTACCAAGTTCTATCAAGCTAATTTAAGTTTAATGGCTAAGATCAGCAGAAAATTGTATTTCATTCCCAACTATAAGATGATAGACCCAGGTCAAACAATCCTTTATCCAGACTAGCTCTTTCTTCTATCAATCAGTCAAGTAGTGATCTTTTCGGGCACGTTGCACACTCTTTTAACCCAGGGCTACCTCCTTCCTTCCTTCCTTCCTTCCTTCCTGTCTTACGAGGGTAATTAAGATGCTAGTCTCTTACTTACCCATCATCCCCAAATGTAGTTAATTTGAAATTGGAAAATCAGTAGCCTAAATCATTTATAGCAAGATTAAAACAAGCACGATGACAGCTTTCCTCATGCATCTACACAACATCAAGCAACAAGCACAAACAGAACTGCAGGTTCTTTTTTGTTTTTTGCTTTTTGAGAATGAACAGAACTGCGAGTTCTTTTTTATTTTTTTTTGAGAAGGAACAGAACTGCGAGATAACTATGAAGCATTTCAATTTCATACCAATATGAAATTTCAACTCTTTTTAAGAATCAATTAAATGCAGATATTTTGCTGGAACAATTAAAAGGCAAAAGAATGGGATTCTACAACCACTTGATGGAAACAAAAGACCTGCATGGTAACCAGAATGGATCACCTGTTTGTCTTTGTGCTCTGTCAATCCCAAAATTGAGTCCCTAAAGCTGCAGAGCCAAAAACAACACTTTCAGAAGTAATTTAGAATCTGGGGTTATCACTTGCAAAGGCATAGTATAAACGTGACTTTTAGAGAATTACAACAAGCAAAAGCAGTTTAAAAATTTGACGGGCGCCACATAAGACGGAACATACAATCTTAAGTAGTCAGTCAGCATTTGGAGAGATGTTATTGCCATTATAGTCAGGAAACACGTGTCATAGCTGTCATCAAATTCAGTAACACTACACGTGGTACATTGTTCTAGAGCAAAGTAATGAACCAAGCATGCATGCAGGAAATTAAAGCAAGTTGCAGGAAAAAGTAGATACAAAAATAGAGTGGAGGAGAGTGTTGGAATGTTAATTCTAAAGTTCGATATTGCGCATTGAACGAAAAAATATGTGGTCGTTAGGTTGACGGACAAGTGTGAAAACAGTGGTAGGAAATATAGAGCAGTCCCATAACTGTGGGATTACACCAGGAATCAGCATTGAGCCCGTGCTTGTTTACCCTAGTTATGGAGCTAACAAACAGTATACAATGGGACAAAGTAACGACAACATAAGTACGAGCCTCCAATCATTAAGAACACTGAAAGGCTTTACGAAGGGATGATCGAGAGTTGACCAAGTTTGATCGGTGTTTACCAAGATTTTACCAATGTTAACCGTGAGTTGACCAAGACATGACCACCACTAGAGTTTCCGGGATGAGTCAAGCCTGGTCCCACTAGCCTCACGTCTTTTTTAATTATGTTAGGGATTTTATTATTTTAAAGTACTTGAACTTGAGCCCCAGCCAATTGTTTAGCTAGTAGTATAAATAGGAGTAATGTAGGGTTTTACCAGATTTGGATGAAATATTTATAAAGAACTCTCTTGAGAGAGCATCCCTTTGTGTTAATATCCTTTACCTGTTTAATTGAACCTCTCTTAAATTCTTCTTGCAAGTATTCATGTATGAGTTCAATTTCTCTTCCCCTTGAATTATTTCCCGTAGTAAAATTGCTAGTTAGTAGGTTCAGCTTACTTGCTTGGGTTGACTGGTTGCTTCTTCTATTAAATTCTATCCTTTCTTTCTTATTTTATCTCTATCTTCTCATTTCTTTCTAGTTGTTGCTTTAATTGTTTGATTTCCCATATTCTTTCCATCGTCACGAGGGATTAGTAGTCTGGAATATCATAAAAGTTCATTGCGAATAAAACAAATGTAATATACTCATCATATATGGATACGAGATGAAATTCATGCAGCTCTTCCCCGATTTAGAAATTAAAAAAAAACAAAATCAAGTTTCAAATCCACATTTTTAGAACTTCCAATATGGTGGCATATTGATATTGCAGTTGTGCAACCTTTGTTTCTTTTAGATGAAATGTGCAACCTTTGTTTCTGCTACCATTTTTTTTCCTTCTCTTAAACAACTAATGTAAAAGAGTTCCACTTCTGTAGTTTCTAATCTACCATTCGCATATTTTTTTGGTCTTTACACTGTAATTCATATTTGGGTTTCACATTCGAGTTGCTTTATTAGATCCTTATCACTGCACAAAAAAAGAAATTATACCTGGACGTCATATGGAGGCATTAAACCCACTCAGATTATCAGAATAAAAGTTGAAAATATTATACATAAGTAACATGTGATAACATCTGCTAACCTCTCAACTCCAGCTCTGGACGCGTCTCCATTAATGTGCTCAGGAGAAAGGATGTCTCTTACAGCTAGATACTCTAAAACCTGTAAAGTACAGTTGACATTGTAAAACCAGCTTAGTAAGATAGCAATGACAAACAACAGGGTGTGCTAGGTATATCAAGAGAACCCTGCACTGAAAATGTATAGCCAACAGAAGATCTCACGCAAGGAAAAAATGGGTACAACAAAAAAAAAAAAAAAAAAAAAAAAAAAAAAAAAAAAAAAAAAAAAAGTGAGTAAAGAAGCCACTAATACATTGCTGAATTACATATTGACGTACGTCTCACTGAAATTTTCTGGTACAGCATCTTATTGACAAGAAAGACAGTGTTCTTACCCATTTAGATCACCACCCAATTTGCTGCTTTTGTTAAGACTCTTTTGTTAGTTAAAGGCAAAATTTTGAAAGGAGCAAATGTTACCTCTATATACCTAATGAGACTTTGTGAAGATTTTGAATCTCCAAGGCCAGAAAGGACGAGGAGAAGATTACTAATAGATTTAGATGTGACATTGTATTTTATGTTCTTCTTACCAGTGTTGGAAACTACTTCACATTGGTTTTATCCGTCGTCTAACCGTTCAATGATTTGAATATATTGTTACTGATCTTAGAATGGATAAAATACATAGAGTATATCTGGTGTTTCATGTTTATTTAGTATATTATATGTATATTATCCTACTCGTTTAGTGACATCATAATGTCAGACTGTAGGCATATTGTCCATGCTACTCGGCTTTGATCTTTGAACTTAAACTCACAGTGCATGAAATGATCAATAACTTGCCATATGCTTTTTTTTTCTTTTTGGCAAACTTAACTACAGTGATTATTGCACTTACATGTTAGCTAGTTGAGACCTTTTTTCCATTACCTGTTAGCTATTTAATATGTGTTTATACACAAATATGTTTGAGTGACACATTAAGACGCTGTGTAGTGAATAAATAATTTGTCAGTTAAAAAACTTCTGGCTCAAGAATATGCAGATCATGATTAGCTGGTGGTAAAACTGACATTTTCTGATATACCTCTCAAATTCTGGTACTTTCAGGCTAACTACTCAATCACTAGAGTAGAAGTATAGGACTATAGAATTACTACATTACCTTAAGCAACTTTCTGAGAATTGGGATCTTATTGAACTCCCTCCTGTATCGTTTCATTATGTTGTGTAACATCTGTAGACCTACCAGCAAAACAAACACAGATCCAACAATCGGTATATTTGAAAATCGGAAAAGCTAAAACATGCAATAAGCACCAATTTATTACCATTCTTGTTCATAATATCCATCAAAACTGTGCGTGACTTTGTTTTCAAGATCGCATCAAGGATCATAGAAAGTTCCCGGTTACTGCTAACAAATAAATGCACAAATTAAAAACTATAAAAATAAGAAGTAGCAGCAGCTAGGAATTCAACTCCTAGCACTACAAAGAGTCAGAGGCGAGCCATTTGTTACCTCTGGATAGCTTCACCATTACAGCCATCCCCTGAAGCAGCAGTTAAAAGGAGGAGCTTCAAGTAACACCTTGACGCATCCTGCTCCAAGAAAAGAGAAAACTAATAACTGAAACAAAATTGTAGAGTGCCGTGGAATCAGCATGCACGCATTTACACATATGGCAAAAGTTGAAAAAAAAAAGGAATGCTTCAGAATATTATAGTAGAACTATTAAAATCTAAATGGAGAGGTTACTAAGGTCAAGGCCGAGTTAAGAAACTGGAAATGCCTCAGAAAATCAAAATAGGACCATGAAAATGTAAATGGAAACATTACTAAGCCGGGGCTACATTATGTGCCCAGCAATGAACCCTTGCTACAACCCACTGTATGGACTCCCAGCCCTCCCTTTCACCAACGTTTTGGCCTATTCCCTTTTGATGAATTAACACCAAAGTGCAGTAGAAGAAAGGTAAAAAAAGAGGGGAGCATTCCCACAAACCAGCACAATGAATAATCACAAATCACCAAGCAAGAAATAAAAGAAAGAAATGCAGATTATATCTTGTAGCTTTTAACTAGTCACCTTGCGTTTGCTTATTCCACCATTATGATCCAGCAACTCATTCAGTTTCTCTTCAACTGCAAATTCAGGTAAAAAAGATAATGCAAAAGTACTCCACAATCTGCAGATTCCACAAAATGATAACGATGACATACCTGCTTCAAAATGGCCATGTAAGGAGCCATCCGGTGGTTTCTTGAATTTAGGTTGTGAAACTTGCAACATGCTGTCCACATCAGGCAGGGGTCTGGAATTCACAGCATTATTCCTCTGTTTCACCTTCTTCACTAAAGATGATTCACGTGAAGTTTTCACAAAAGGACAGGGTTTTAAGGGATCATGTGTCTCTCGCCCATTGCTGGATTTTGACTTTCTCAAGGACTTGCTAACCACTGCATCAAGAGAAGTTACCTCAAATTCCTGTGTGGAAGAGAAAGAGTTCTTTGATACTTCGCCAGCTACTGAGCACTCTTTTGTCACTCCAGACATGGTTTCACATGTATCCTTCAATGACAAAGAAGTCTCTACAGGTTGAACAGAAGAATGAGACATACACTCTGAGGCTTCCAGTGCCACAGATGTTTCGGCAATTAAAGATGATGCAGGAGACCCATCAGGGAAGTTTTCGCTTTCTTCTCTAGCATTCAAGCTAACAACAGCAACGGAGTTACCCAAATTAACATTTTCTAGACCCATGATACTGTTCATATGTGTTTGATGGGAAGTATCCTGATTTCCAGCAAAAGATTCATCCACTGTATTTTTGTTTTTAGGTGGTTTCCCTTGAATTTTAATTTCAGCAACATTAATAGCACTTGTAGCACATATACTGCTGTCTTGTTTATGATTCATGTCAGCATCCCCATGCAGCATGACAGGTTCAGGATACTCATCATCCGAATCATCCTGAACAATCACTTCTGCATTTAGCGGGTCACCACCTATATAGCCCCGACAATGAGGTGAGCCACAGACACACCTTTTAACTGCAGCCCCGAAGACTCGGACATAATTGTAGTCAAATGTCACCTCTTCGCCCTGATAATAGGATCCAAAGCACAGTGATCTATTAAGCCAAGAATTGATTCCATTCAATAGTCATACAGGCAGCTTATAGATTCTATAGTAGACTGAAGGCTGGACACCAAATAAATTATTGCAATCCACAATAAAAACGGGAAGTAAACCTTGATTGCAGTCCACAATAAAAACAGGAAGCAAATCTTGAAACTGAAAGCATGTCCTAGAATTTTTTTTATTATTATTGTTAAGGAATGTCCTAGAAGTTGTTGAGGTCCAGTAACTTTTCTGCATTTAATTTACGCTTTGAACAGAGCCTAGTTTGCAAGTTCTTTAAGCTCCATCCGATTTATGTATTTAGTAATACTCTTTTGATATTTATGCATTTAGTGATATCATGGAGAACCTGTTCCCTATTAACGACTTGAAGCAATTCTTCAGATCTGACAATAAGCAAATTATGTGAGGAAAAATTAATATTACCAAAGTTTGAAAACTCTTTTACTCTATGCATTTTAGCATCTATACGGCATATCAAATAAATCACCGGGAGTGCAACCCATACACACCACTGGATAGTGGACACAAGATCCACAGCAATAGCAAAGACCCTCCCTAAAAATTAAAAGAGGTTCTAACAATTCCAAAAATTGCACTTCACCTAGCAAATGTTAATCCCTAAAAGAATTTCCAATCAGCACATCACATTTTAAAGCGTGTTTGACATTAAGAACAAAAAAGAAATTGCTTTTGAAAAAGCAATTGTTTATATATTTTGTCGTTTTGATTAGCTAGTTTCCAAAAAGAATAAAAATCAATTCTCTCACATCAAACGCAAAAAATCCTCCCAAAATTAAATTCTTAATTCATAAATTAAGACAAAGAACAAAACGGAAGAGACACATATACACAATATTTTGTTTTTCAGTCCAGAGAGTAGTTGTGAGTGTGTATTGTTTACATCTCTCTTTTGGCATAACGTATGCCATGTAGTAGCACATGCTAGCCAGCACTAAGGTCAGATCATAGCAGCCCCAACCTCACCTCCAAACTTTTGAAATCACTAGCAGCAACCACCGAAGTACTTATCACAGTTCATGATTTGATGATTGCAACAAAAACATCAGTTACAATTTTCGCTATATGTTATGTTGATGTTTATGAAATAGTCAAAACCAAGTAATATGGACTACAATAGGAAAAAAGACTTTACCTTCTTGATGTCCCTTAAAGCAAAGAGTCCAATGCAGACCTCACCATTCACCATCCACTGTTCAGCAAATGAAAGAAAGTTGTGTCACACCATTAATACTATTGAAGCATGCACTCAATATAAACAAGTTGAGAGAACTAGGTGTGAAACTATATCAAGCATTTTCTGCTGAAAATAATTGGTGGGAGAGGAAGGGGGGGAGCTCGGTGTGATTTTAGCCCAATGAACAAGGGATCTCGATGCACAGGTTTAGGTGCATCTATAAGCGATGAAGCTACTTCCTATTTCTAAATACCTCTAGTATTGAAATAATAAGATGCAAAATCAAAACTGATAATTGGGTGGACATAGATAGCTTATCCTAAAATAATAAAAGAAAACGGCCATATTCTCAGATAATACAGTGGCCAACGACCGAGGTAAGATAACACTAACTGAGAAAATCTTGCAAATTTTCTAATTCAACCCCAACATAAAGATGATTGCGTCAGGCTTAAAACTTATCTTTGTTATGTAGTTTGCAAGTGATGGCATTTTTACTAATTTAGCCTTACCTAAGACAGAGCTGTGACCATATCTAGGACTTTAATACATATCCAGTCCACAAAAGAACCAATTCAACACTTTTGATCACTTGTATACATTATTGGGCAAACAACTAAGCTGCAGTAACTATTTATAATGTTTTAAGGCAATAAGCAGCTGCACTTCATTGAAACCGTTTATCACAACTTCCATTTTTTTATCAGTGAAAAGCCAGAGGTAGATGTACTTTTGAAGAAGTGAGCCCAAACGTTGAGTTAAAGATTACTTCTTGTTGAATTTGAGATCCTATACGGAAAAATGTAGCTGCAATTAACTTGTAGAGCAGCAAACCACATGGTTTCCAAAATGTTTTGAATTGCCATGAGAATCAAATTCCGCTTAAAGGAGAGCTTACATCTTGAGGCAAACCACAAAGAAAGCAAGAGGAATATGATGGAATAAACTGACCATGAGTTTTGAGTTACAACAGATAAAAGGAGCGAAACTTCCTTATTTAAAAAAAAAAAAGGAGCGAAACAATCGCAAAATTTGGGGTTAACATAGAATGACTAATCAAAATCCTTCGACAAAGAATATAACGTGCCCTACCTTGACCCAATTTATGTGGCAAACTAGACTTTTGAAAGAACGTAATCATGTTGTCTCAGTTTATGTGGAAAACTAGACTTTTAAAAGAATGCAACTGTGCCCTCCCTTCGTCCAAATTTAAGTGGCAAATTAGACATTTGAAAGGATATCTAAATATTTCAAAAATCTAAAGATTGTAGCAGATAAAATTTTTATTTAGTTTTTGATTGTTCACGTTCATTTTTAAAGTTGAAGGAATTCACAACAAAACTGATAATTTGACCTCAAAATCCAAACTGTCTCATATGAAAGGGTTCAGATTAGAGTACATTTTATCATCTAGCAGCTTCTAGTGTATTTCCTACTGTGAAGAAGAGTGTCATGATGACGCAATGCTTTCCAAAATTCATCTGTCTCATCTCACTTCCTCTGCCATGTCAGCATTTCATGCACCATATTCACTACCTCTGACATATAAGCCTGATCTATGATCCATTTGTGCCCAAAAAGATCACAATAGTTTTAACGCCAAAGCAAGTGCAACAGCCTTCTGATCTTTACCATGACTAAGAAACTATTATTATACGTAATTGAAAAATTCTTGAGTAAGCAATAATTGCTGAAAATGTACATTGTTCAGGGAACTAAAAAACTAATACAATTTAAAAAAGCAAAAGAGACTCCACATTCAAGGCCGCAAAATTACAATGAAAGGGTAACAAAATCTCAAGGGAGAACACAAACTACACAATAACATGAAATGGGCAAAGTATAATGAAAGGATAAGGAATTTCTTCTCTGTGCACAAATTCCTCAGTAAAAAAGATTCAATTTTTAGTAAGTTCAATTGAATTGGAATGGGAATTTTTTGAAGTAAATGTGAAGTGCAGTTGCCTAGCACATTTACCTTTTCGGTACGACAATTAGGGTCACAGCTATGGTTGATAAAACGGCCCAAATTCCCCTTAGCACAGGCATCAATTACCTGAAAATGAGGCATAAAAAGGACATTACCCAACAAGGTGAGAGAAAACAGAAAGATTAAAGAGTCCATAACATACACCGAGTCATTACAAAAATGGATTATGGGCTGTAGAATGATAGCGGTTTAAAATTGATACACATACCAAACATTCATCTCCTTCATACTATAAATCTGTCTACATCAAATACCTAACATTAAGATGAAACTTAATATCTATTAATTAGACATATCAAGGAAAACTGTAATACCTCACTGCCGTTAAGTGTCATGAAATAAAAATGCTTATGACCCTTCAATGCGTACTCCCTTTGCCGTGCCTCGTAAGCATGCATATCCAGCACCTATGAAATTTTAAAATTTAAGGCTAAAATATTTCAGTAATGCAACGCAAATCATGCATAGATACATGTCATACGCATGAAGAGGAAACCTGTAGAAATCAAATGACAAATTTCTAGACAATCTTTTGATAAAAATAAAACAAGGATCAATGACACTAATGGTAAAATGAGGTGAATTTGGATCAAACTTACACCTATGTCAGGCATTCTCTACTACTTTTCTTTTTGATTTTTAACATACTTCTGATAAATTCACCTCAAAACCAGGTCTAACCAGCTCCCAGGGAAGTGATAAAGTCGCCATCCGCAAGATGAAGGTGTTGCATCAAGAGCAAGTAGCTTATATAGACAATTGGACATTTGAACTAAAGGAAATGCATCAACCAATAGAGGTTTAACTTCTTTCTAACGGTATGTGTTATGTTGAACTGAAAAGATTTTTAAGAGAGATTCATAGTTGGAGCAAGCCATTGTGGTGATGAGAGAAGGATAAGAGAGATGGAATCTATTAGAAAGCGAACAATGGTAGGAGATATTCCTTCTTCAAGGAAAGAATAGACAACCTACGAGTACCAGAATACCAATAAATATTCATAGCAGAGAGAGAATTAATGGTTTACATGATTTCTGAATGAGGTATCCTGCAAAGGGCCCCCACCTCAAACCATGATATGGGAAGTTCAAGCAACTAGGGTGCAAAGTGGGAAAGGCCACTATGTAACTCCTGGGAAGGGCGGTTAGGAAGTGAGGCTTACCATAACAAATAGCTCAAATAGACAATTGGACATTTGAACTAAAGGAAATGCATCAACCGATAGAGGTTTTACTTCTTCCTAATGGTATGTGATATGTTTAACTGAAAAGATTTTAAAGAGAGATTCATAGTTGGAGCAAGCCATTGTGGTGATGAGGGAAGGATAAGAGAGATGGAATCTATTAGAAAGCGAACAATGGTAGGATATATTCCTTCTTCAACGAAAGAATAGACAACCTACGAGTACCAGAATACCAATAAATATTCATAGCATATTCATAGCAGAGAGGGAATTAATGGTTTACATTATTCCTGAATGAGGTGTCCCGGAAAGGGCCCTCCATCTCAAACCATGATGTTTGGAAGTTCAAGTAACAAGGGAGCAAAGTGGGNTTACGAGTACCAGAATACCAACAATAAATATTCATAGCAGAGAGGGAATTAATGGTTTACATGATTCCTGAATGAGGTATCCTGGAAAGGGCCCTCCACCTCAAACCATGATGTTGGAAGTTCAAGTAACGAAGGAGCAAAGTGGGAAAAGCCACTATGTAACTCCTGGGAAGGGCGGATCGGAAGTGAGGCTTACCATAACAAATAAAATAAATTTCTGAATGAGCTATGCTGGCACCAAGTTTGATGAGGAAAACTGAGTAGTGTGAGCAACTGCAAAAATGCAATAAGTACGGGTTGATGTAAACTAATTGTATATCAAGACAGGAAGGCCATAGAATAAGTGGAAGAGGAAAGCCTCATATCCAAATATGGATAGTCAATCCGGGAGAAGAAGTTATGAGGAACTTTCTGAGTTGTAGATAGATGGCCTAAACAAGAGTCAAGAAGTGAAATATGTCCCAACCAGCCCTCAAAGATAAATTATGGGCAAGATAGATAGATAGGAAAATAGCCAGAAACAATTAAAGACTCGGTCTCTAAAACGCTCCTTGAATCATATATTATTGGAGTTCAATGGTAGGAAGTTCAGAGAATTCTTGGGTTACAATAATGCAACACTGTTCGAACTACAGTTGAGTCAAGTAGGTAATAACACCAAAAATTATCAGCAAACAGAGGAATAATTAAGTTGGTGACCCCTTGGTTACATTATCCTTTCTCTTTTCGAAAACAGTAGTGTAGCAGAGTTTGATAGGTTCAAATCAGAATTCATAAAGGGCCATAATATCTCAGGGATGAAGGCAGATTGTTTAAACTTTAAAGGTGTCCTTATAACTGGAAAGACACCAAAACAAAAAAGAACAGTACAAAGATGACTACAGTGAAGGATGTGCAAAATGAATGGGGAAATTGGAAGATGATTCTCAACTCTCAAGGAACTAAAAGAATTTGGGAACAACAGCACAGGAGTAGGAATAAAGCATTATTGTGGCATTAATCACCAACAGCTGTGAAGGGGCATGCCTGGCCACAAAGATCTGAGTTGACACAAATGAGACAAGCAATTAGCCTCAAACACTGAGAGGTAGCATCTTAAGGAGGGCGGGAAAGTGTTGAGGATATTGTGATTAAATAAAGCAAGAAGCATGAGCCTAATATGACAATCAACAGACACTAGCAGGAACGTAATGATAAAGAGATTCTAAAGAAAAGGGAACAAGCCCAAAAGCATAACTTGAACCAAAAGAATTGAAATTTGGAGTGACTTATGATACTAGAAAGTCCAAAAGTATAGTTTTGACGTAAATTTATAGAAGTGAAATCGTGTAAAGGGAGCAAAGGTGTTCTGTTCTCTGAAGAAAAATCAGGGTACTGTTGTTTTCTAGGCAAATGGGTTTTGATGTAAATTTGATGCCTATGGGTTCCACCTCAAGTTGGTGATTTTCCCAAAAAAAAAAAATTAGTTACTACTAGCAAGGTCATCTCCTAACTTTCAGTCTCTTTTCACAGAACAGTACCTGCCGAGTGGTGGGATTGGGATAAACAGAATAAAGTTTTGGTATTATTTAGGTTAATGTAGGAAAACAATGTCTATGGTTCCAAGCATTCCATCCACAGTCCACTTCCCCTAACTCCCACAACTCTGTCCAAACTTTGTAGAGAAGATATCTCACCTCCCCGACGTATTCAATAAGAAACTGCCCTTCATATACATCTTCAAGCAGCTGCAGGCCATAACCCTTCTTTCCACATTTAAAGCACTTCAGTTTAGCATAGTTGCGTTTCTGGAACTGCAAGCAGTATATGATAGAGATGATACAATCTGCATAGTAGAAGCAATATACAAGAAAAAGTAACCCTTTGCAAGTTCAAGAACCTGTTGATTTGAACAGAATTCTCCACAAGGACAAGTCCCTTTAACGCACTCTATATTGAGCATCCGGTTCAGGCATCCATCTCCACAGCCCATTCGACCATCTGAAGGTGGCTTGCAATGGCAGACCATGATCTAACAGGTAAGGACAACAAAAGGAAATAGAAGTTACTGAAGGAAGTAAATTAGTTTCTGTTACCTCAAGCACATTAGAAATCATAAGTTGATTGTAGATGAACACGGAAATACTTGAAGAAGCAGCAGTTCACAAAGAAATAAGTAGGGACAACGGAAGGTACCCTTACGAGATGCTAGCCCAACATAGCACCAGCCATGGGCATGGTTTGCATCTTGTAAACATTGCATATATCATTTGATATCTAATTCTACAAACGATTTGCTGCTTTAAAAATTTCTGAAGAATCTCCATTCTCCTCAAAATTGAGCTTATATCAATGGAGAGTTTAAAATATATTTACTTTTTCTTTCCGACTTAAAAATTAAAATATATTTACTTCACCCATCTAAAAATGCTTTAGTTAACAACTTAACATAACATAAGTCCATTTCTTTGTTTTAGCTCCCAGGGGTTAGTTCAATTGGCAAAGGTTGAGGGACTTGTGTCTAGGTCGCAGGTTCGAGCTCTGCGCCAAGCGAACTAACTCGGCTATTTAAATGGAGAAGAGTAGAGGAGCAGTCCCATCATCTCCGAGTTATGAAGGCTGCGGTTGGCCCAAAGGATTAGTTCCAGACGGATTTCTTGGTCAAAAATTAAAGTCCCTTTTTTTTTTTTAGAAGTTAATTTACTGCTCTAACTATTAATGGAGAACCTGTAGGCTTTTTATCATCAGAATGGACAAGAAGCCCTTCTAGAAACATCATTGAAGGGAACCCCAGAAGAACCAGATGATCCTTCCTTCTCAACAAACAACAATTCCTTCCTTCACAACAAACAATGATTTCCTTTCATTTTACCGCAAAAATCTACTTCACATAAATAATATATCCACTTAGTGTCACAGCCAGGTTGAAAATGTCAGCTCATGGACATTGAAACCATGGTGGATAGGGCAAATCACCAATAGATTACAACAAGAAAGATCCAAAGTAAAAACACCAATTAGTTGTCTAGAGGAACCACGAGTTACTCAAACACAGCATTTCTTCCACGGGATGTACCTGAATGTCTCATTGTAACCAACACCGAAAATGTGATATTTATGAATCAACTTCTTCGAGTGAGATTTCATTTTTTATGGCAAAAGCCTTCAATCAAGAATAAGTAACAAGTTTATTTTCAATAAACGAAAAAATCAGGTGACCAAACTTTTAGAAGCTTTTTTTTGCTAACGAATTTTAAATTCAGTGAATTTTTTTGTCTAAAACCACTGCAATTCTAAGGCCTTTATCCTCCTCTTCTTTTTATTCTTCAAGATGTACACCAGTGTATATAAGGCAATAATGCAGACTAGATCAGGCATCCACCTCATCAACAGTTTGATTTTTGCGGTTGCGATGCAAAAACATGTTTGACTTGATCCGAGACCAAGATGATTGATGGGACACTGTAACAAACATAAAGAAGGAAAATAATCAGATCAGTGCAAGTCTACCCCGAGAACATGTACCCAAAGTTTCATAACAACAATCATTAGATACCAAGTGGATTTTTTTGTCCTGATCCATTCGAACTCAAGTGCACACGAGAAACATCTTCCTCATCTGATATTTCCAGCTCAGCATTAATTTCTGAATTTGACTTCTCTTGGGGAAATGAGCAATCAGCAAAAGCTTTATCCAGATTATCCATACATGTCCTTTAACATTGATAGAAGAACTGTAAGCCATCAAAACTCTTGTAAACCAAAAAAAAAACATTATGCTTTCAAAACCACAAGAGTTTCCATCTCCATTACTGACACCTCAAATACTATATCGAGATTATCACACACACACACACGGGGGTGTGAAAAAGCATTTATCATCCTGACTTATAGAGCTAACAGTCATCTGATGCTTAGTTTTAATAGACCCACTTAGTTTTGAGGAAGCAAATATCAAACCAAACCATCACCTGAGCGTTCCGACACCAAATGGGAAGAATTTTGGATGCACTCAAATTAGAACTTTTTACAAGTCAATAAACAAGAAACGGTAGATCTTCCATTATTTAAAAATATAGTTACCTTATCAAAAAATTAAGCCAATAAACAAGAGAAAGGACAATATGAAAGACACAATAAGTTGCCTAATTTGGGCATAAAGAATGCCGCCTCAGGATTTTGTAGTCAGAAATATAGCATGTCACCACTTACAATGATCTCCACATACTAAACCTTTCATTGTGTGGCAAGTGGCAACTTATCTCGGAGATAGTTTTGGTCTTCACAATTTGATCAATTAAAACAAGAAATGAGTACGATGCACCTTCATCAGGATTTAATATAATCAGCTATTCATGAATAAGATGCACAAAATGAATTTCTTTTAAGAATCTGAATTTCGTACAACAAAACCTTAAATACTTCGCATATACAAAATTGGAATGACAGTGTCATTTATCAAAATAAAAAGAAGAAGATAAGCCCCACTTCCCACGGACTAGTTCTCACGACGAATGATATGTTGCTTTTTCCTTTTACACCTTTTATTTCTGAGAGGACAATGTTAATTCCACAAAAAGAAAGTTCATTTCGTAGACCAACAACTAGAATGTTTAGCTATCTGAGTGCTCAAGTACACCAATAAAGCAAGAAACCTCACTTGGCCTAGATAATAAGACTACACACAAACTATTGTTAGGGTCCTCGGGGAAATTGCAAAGCAATGGCTGTTAGTCATATTTAATTTTTTTTTAGCTGTTAGTCATATTAAACTATTCGCAGCTCCAAAGGAAATGATCTATGTTTCTTTCTTATCTCCCCCATAAAACTTGATTTTTTCATTAAATGGAAAAGTTTTCTCTTTCTAATACTTCACGCTAATACAAAAGCATTATTCCCTTTGTACCATTTTGTATGACACCATTTGACTGGCACAAGTTTAAGATCTTAATTTGATGTGTGTGTACATACATATACATGTGTGTGATACATATACACACAGACATTTATATACAAGTGTGTGGGTGTATTGATAACAGAGAAATCCGTGGTTTCCAGCTTTGAAACTTGGTGGATAATCGATCCACCCTTGTACACCTAAGTAGCACATTTGGTTCACACCTGGTTTCCGACTCGTGATGCGGTGCCTATCACACATCTCGTGTTGTACTAACTAAACCACTGAAACCAAAACCCTGATTTGATGTATATATTACATTAGTGATAGCGGAGTAAAAACTTAAAGTTGGTAAATGAAAAGTTAGTTTAATAAAGAAAAACATCCCATCAAAGTCAAGAATTGAAATACATTAGTGGATTCGAATCCTTAAAAGTTGTGTAAGAATAGAAGAGTGTTAAATATTTTGGGTCACAAAATGAGAAGAGTGTCAATTTTTTAGAAGAGTGTCATATAAACTGGAAAGGAAGGAGTGCCAGCGCTTTTACAGTGCTCTAAGTAAACCCCACAAATTACAGAAAATACAAAAAATACCTAACATGCAGATGACTTAGTGCTTAAGACAACAAAAAAATTAATTAACATTTTCAATCTGAGCATGCTTAGTTTAGAGCATACAGAATCACCCTAGCATCTAATAACATAAGGGAGGCTGACTTTTATGGTGACTCACAGAAGCAACGGATTGCCAATCCCAAGAAGGCATATCTTGCAAGGATCATCTTACTAGTTTTTTTGAGTTACAGTAGGAAAATATAATGCATGCATAAACACATAAAAACGCATATGCACGCACACACACACGAAGAGACGCATAAAGAGGAAGAGTGATCTAGCCATAGTCCACCAAGAAAAGGCTGTTCCTTCAGCTGTCAAAATAAAGGAAAACCAAATCCTTTCACAGTGCTGAATTTCTATGCACATGCAGTCAACTAACAGGAAACATAAAAGTATACTATTAGTACATTTGTAATTCAGAGATTGGATGAGCATATCACATACCATCTGCAGTTTGTTACTTCTATTTGATCAGCAAGGAAGGAAGGTATACGCCTCCATTTATGGCAATCATCACACTGCACCCAAGCATTTCTTGGTGGCAAGAGACGCTCGCCTACCTCAGTCGGCAGAATGTCCAAGTTCGAAATGCCTCCACCTAAAATTTTCTTTTCAGAGCCAATTTGTCCAAGCCCAGATGGTGTTCCATTTTCTACGACATTAGTTAATATAGTCACAAAATACTTCAATCTACCTAGGTTAGCCTTACATAACTTGAAAAAAAAAAGCTCAATATACTATTACGTGTATCATCCGACAATACCTGTTCCTGTGTGCTGTCTCACTTCACATAAGCCCTTAGCAAGGTCACTTTTGTGCTTCACTTCATGCATAATGTCTTCCTTTTCTTTGTTCTCCTTCTTTTTACAACCTCTTCTTTTTGACGGCTTTGGGACTTCTGACCTGCTCTTTCCTGATACCTTTGGTCTTCCCTCTTTAGAAACTTTTCGCTCATCAGGAGAGGATACCAGTTTCTCTGACAACCCTGACTCCGGAGACTCAGTGCCAAGACTAGAACAATGATTGCCCTCTAGATCACTTTCCAGCTTTGAGGAAGCACAGGAGATTCCCAAGCCTGACATTCCTGAACAATGTAACAGTTCTCCTGAAAATATCTCATTGCTGAACATGTTACCCGTTCCATTTCCAGCTGTAGTTAAAACAGAAGTATCACAACAACTAGAACCATCCCTTTGTTTTTCTCCCTGCATGATATTCCAGAATACTTGTGCATTGCTCATACTTTCTGGACTAAGCAAATCTTTCACACCACAGTTGGAAACCTTTGGGAGCATATATTTTTTCCTTTCTTTTTTACTGATCTTCTCATGCATCAAAATTGGAGCATCCCCAGGAGCAGCACATGGCTTAGACAAAGTCAAATCATGCAAGTCGTCTGGAACATTGACTGGTGTATCAGGAATCAGGTTGATGACTTCTGAATCAGGTGAAGTTCCAGGATCTGAAAACCTGTTACCGATCGATCCTCCCTCCTGGGAAAGTGACTCATCATGGCAAACTAAAGTCTTAGCAGCTGTATCTTGAACTGCGTTCTTTCCAGGTTGGCATCCATCTGATAAAGAAACATAGTCATTATCCGAATTTCCATTGCAACCATGGAGCTGCATATCCAACAACTCCTCCCCCAACCTATCATCAACTTTGCTGGCAATTTTAGGCAGTTTTTTAAGTTCTTCTACAGTAGTACAATTTTTGTTAGTATCATTATCAATAAGAGGAATAACATCCATCAGGCAACGGTGACCAAATTTAACCTTCAAGGAGATAGGTCCAGTTGGTATGAAGCGTTTACCCTTCGATTTCCGTGACTTTCGATCAATCTGATTCTCACCATGCTTCTCATTTCGCCTACTACCCTTAGTTGCTGTTCTTATATTTTTCTGCTCCCCCGAAGTTATCTCAAGCCTGATATTATGTTCAAAAGATTGCACCATATTTTCTAGCAAACCCCAAACTGAAGAACGAGCTTGTTTACTGAAATAGCTTCTTCTCTTTCTTGTAATCTTCAAGGAACTAAGATCTATGGATGCCTTTTTATTGGCTATTCTCCTACCACTTGTTGCTGGTACTGTAGCCAGATTCTGGCTTAACTTGATGTTGCGCCCACTCCTTCTCCGAGGGGCAATACATACATTGACAGGGCATTCACTTTCAGAGGCATTATCAGTTTTTACAGTATGTTTGCTTTTATCATCCATCTTACGGGACAACGCCTCAGTTATGCTAATTGAGTCAAAAGCATTCACAAGAACATCAGTTTCTGAAACATCAAGTCCAACCATTCTCTGAGGCACATCATCATCTTTTATCTCAAAGGGTTGAGGTGATTGCAAAGAGACAGATAAGTTTCCGGTCGTGCAATTGGGATTCATGGCAGATGAACTCTGCCCGAACTCGCAGACATCGTCTCCTATTGATATCTGAGAAGCCATATCAACAGTTTAACAGCAACGTTCAAAGAAAGCATAGGCCTCAACGAAAACTCCTTATACCAGCACAAGAACTAACTGCCATGTAAAGATACATGTCTCAGAAATTCGTTGCAGTAATCTATAAGAGCAAATGGTAGTTATTTTAATTAAAAAATGCATAATCTTCATCAAACAAACATTGAAGCAAATAAATACAGAAAAAGGTGAACTGGAATTACAGAGCAATTCCCCACACATTCATTAGGGGGGAAATGCTATAACATGGACAAAAAACTGATCACCATAAACAAAGATGTCAGAAAACATAGCTCTGAAGTCTATTGGAGCTTAACAAACTGCCAGGCATGAGAAGGAAGTGAACATTATTCCATTTTCTTTTTTTCTTATATTTAACCTACTACTACATTGCATTTTTGCAGCAGAGTTATGGGTCTATTCCATGTTTTATATGTCGTGACTGCCACCTTGCAGTGGTGGATGTCATCGCAAGTTGGATGACAAGCAATCGGAGGTCAGAAAGAGAAGAGTTGTGGAAGATTGCTCATGTTTACAGGTTTTGATTGATAAGGAGAAAGAAGTAAGAGAATTTTTTTAAGGTGTAAAAAACTCCATGTGGAACGTAAAGAGCTTCCTTTAGCTACATTTATACTTTTGGCCCAGAAAGTATGTTGCCCTATTGAATAGATAGTTGGTTAAATCTCGTGGAGTTTGATGTAAAACCGTACTTTGGTTTGTGTCACTAGCTTGGAGAGACATAAATGAAATATTATTCTGGATTATCCAATGAGCCCTGTGCATCCACGTGCTTAAGGAAGTTTTATCAATTAAACAGTACATGACCGAATATTTCCAAATCTGCTAAAGATTAATTAAGATTATGCAGCCCAACTCTTTCCATAACCCACTAAACCTAATTTACTGCTGAAATATTCCACACAAGCACATATAAGTACAATTTAAACTTTTATTTTGTTCTACACATATTTTGGTGTGTAACAATGGACGGAGCTGGGATTAAGACTACGGGAGACCAGGGTTTAAATCCTGGCAGAGTCATATAAGCTGGGTGATTTCTTCCTATCTACCTAAGCCTTGATGGCAGATAGTCGTGGAGCCAGAAATTTTAACAAGCGGATTAGAAAACATTTGCGACTTAAGCAATTATTGAACTACCTTCCTTGTGTCAATTGTCAAGAGGATACAAAAGCTCATATAGATATGAAAATGAAAAAAATTATACTCTATTTGTGCAGTACTATTTTGGGATTCAATGGAACCTCCTTCCTTGACTATGGCTCCGCCATAGGTGGCAGAGTTACCCACTACTTGTATGGAAGAGAGGATGATCACTTGCTGCATTGAGCTAGAAAAACCGCAACACAAGAAAACCCAAATAAATGCTTAGTTTTCAAACTGCAGCTTTAATGCAAGACACAGATAACATATGTCTGCACAGAGAAAACTGAAAAAGTAACGGCGTCCCGTTTTCTGCCAGAAAATTCCAAAAGCGAAAGAGTAGATAAAAGAAAAAAACCCTAAACAGCTAACATTTAGCAGTGCATCAAAATCCCTAAAATCAAAGCTCAAACACCAATGCAGATACATACATATATCCACCTCGTTGGCACAAAATTAAATTACAAGAAAAGAACAATCAACATAAAGANCAAACAAAATTAAATTACAAGAAAAGAACAATCAACATAAAGATCATACCTGGTGGTGAATTTGATGAAACTTCACGAATAGTAGGAAGACCAATTTCAAGGAATATATGTACATAAGTGTACGTCTGTAGTTTTAGAGAGAGAAATTGGATTATTTTTTTTAGAGAGAGAATAGAGAAATCGCTTGGCGGTAGTCAGCAAACGGTTTTTATAAAGAGTTGTTTGAGAAAGAGAAAGAGAAAGGGCTCCGATGGGAACTCATTGGAGATTTTCCTCTTTTCTTCTTTTCTTCTTTTTTTCTTTTTTGTTTTGTTTCCGACTATTATTAGTATTTGGGCTGTTTAGTTTTGGTGTCTCATTAGTTTCTTAATTTTCTTAACATAAAATTTAGACATTTAACAATTATACATCAAAGTATTATAAATTGCACGTAATTTTTAATTTTAATAAGAGTATTTTAGAAATATGAACAAAATTAATTGATTCATTAAATAATATTACTGCCATATAAAAAAAACAAATAAAGTAATAGCTAAAGCTTTAACATAAGTACTTACAATAGATTATATTACTTTTAAGTCTTGTATGTCCTTTAAGCTTTTGATATATTTATTAAGAAAATTATGTGATACCATTAATTGTAAAAATATTTAACTAATATCCTTCTATATCTTCTGTAAAATAGTAAGTAATGAATATATATCTTTTTATGAGTAATAAGGACATAAGTGAAATAGAAATTAATGACTTCCTAATTTTTTTAAAGTAATAAATTAGGACCAATTTTATTTTAGTTAAAGTGATACTAGATAAAATGGACAGTAATTAATACAGTGGAGTTTCATTTTTGCACTTGCTTTTAGTAAACGGATGGCTAATGAAACGTGGCATATGGGGGNGCTGATAATGTATACTTAGCTTTTAGTCTTTTACCCAAAAATTTAGGTGTTTGGTTTACAACTTCACATCGTATTTTGGAGAGTTTTTCCAAAGCTCAAAAAACCCAACTTGCTTGGTTTTCAGATGGCTTAGTTTTGGAAAATGAGTCCACAAAATATTTCTAAAATCCTAAAATTCAGATTTTGGAAACCAATTGAAAAATATGTCTCTTTTGTACTCAAAATGCAGATTCCTCTCCAAATTCAAAGGCTTTAAAACATTTCCCCAAAAAAAATCAAAAATTAAACCAAATCCAAATTATTTTAGTTAAATATGTTTATATGAAATTACCCGGGCTTTTAAAAATTTCTTTTTTCCATAAGTATATAATAGTATATCAATATGGAGATAGAATATTTTTCTTTAAGATATTGAATCTCCTTGTTAAAATTTAGGGGTGTCAATGGATATTTTAAAATCGAGTAAACCGATCGAACCGTACCGCATCGAACCGATTTTTAAGGTTCTTTTAATAAAACCGTATGTTTTTATGTAAATTTATAATCGTACCGATATTTAGGGTAAGTTTTTTAGTTTATAAAAAATAAATCAAAAAAATATCAAACCGTACCAAATAAATTTACATGAAAAAAATATATTTATATATTAAGTTTAAAAATAATAATGCATTAAATTTTTCCTTCGGCCTTGAAATTATAAAAACGGTTACAAGCCAACAAGTAATTAAACTCAAAATCCTAATTTCCAAACCTATTATATTACTACTATTGAAACGAAATATTTCCAGCATATTCACTAGCAAGACACAAGGCATTCTAGCAATTATGAGTAACAAACTATAATGTACTGAATATGTTTCCTTTCGTATGATTTAATTTATATTTTCGAATATTTAATCTTCTATAGACTTTATTCTTGAGTCTCAACTTGCTTAATATCTTTCCACACGTGTGATTTATATTTTCTTTGTCTTTGCTTAGTTTTTTTTACGTAGTTGTAGAATAGTTGATGGATTTATACTTTGGTCATCTTTCATGTTTTCTTAACTCACCACCTTTTAAATAGTAGAAATATCTAGAGAGTTTTACTAAGTATTATAAAAGTATGTATGTTATTCCATTCTGCTTCTACTAGTGACTTTTAAATGACATTTAAAAAAATATCGAAAATTAATCGAATCGTACCGATACCGAAGAGAAACTGACATGATTGGTACGGTTTCTAAAAGTCTAATTTATTTATACATGATAGAATAACCGAAAATTTGGTATGATATAATTAGTTCTTAATTGCTTTTACAAAATGATTGTCACATTATTCATACCCCCTGCCAGGTATATATTTTATCAATATAAAAGTTCAATTAATATTTGAGCAACAAACAAAATTGACAAACACAAATTATTAACAACAACAACAACCCAGTATAACCCAGTACAAACACAAATTATTAAGGGATGCAAAATTTTAACTTTATAGCAAACCAATCTCTTTTGGAATTTGGAAATATTTACACTCACCTTCCTTATTTTTAACTTTTTGTTCCTTATTTCATTTTTCTTGTAACAACTTCTTTAATTTAATCATTATCATCAACGCAAAGTTTTTGGATATCTAACCAATTTTCAAACTTTAATATATTTTGTTATAACTCACCATTTGTAATATATATACCGCATCATTTTACACAAGCCTCTTTTCAACTCATCTGGATCCTCAAGAAAAGCAAATGATGTAGTAGCACAATCAAGTAATGCATTTAATTGCATACATTAACATACAAATTAAGAGTTACACTTTAGGAGTAATTGAAACCATGGATGAGCTCATGAGCCCTTCAATATTCAGTCCAAGGTTAGTTCACTACACCCTTTGTCCAGAATTAGTTGTCATGTGTTGTTTCTCGAGAGTTAAATTATGTGAACTTTGGCTAATATTTTCAAAATATTTTTTTTTATTATATTAGTATTAAAAAAGTTATAAATTGTAGTACATTCACTACAAGAAAATACTTATTTTGGGGGGGTGGGGGGAGTCAAATTGTGATGGTTTTTAACCCCCTCAAAAAGAATTGTGGCGGTTTCTAAAAGTGCCACAGTTATCTTTGCCACGAGCATTATTGTGGCGATTTTTTAGAACCTCCACAACAACTGACACAAAATAAATTTTGAATTTTTGAGAGTCTTTTAAGATAATTAGTGGCAGTTTAGAACACCTCCAATATGATTTCAACGTGTCAAAAAAATATTGCAGTCTTTATAAGCCCTCTCACTATGATTATAATGGTTCAAAAATAATTGTGGGCATTTTTAAACCCCCACGGATATGATATTTTTTAAGAAAAAATTATGTGGGATTTATAACTGTTGCAATATGATATTAATGTTTTTAAAAAATAGTGGCAGTTCATTTCCGCCACAATGAAGGAGGTTCGGTCCCTTCACTCTACCTAGTACCCATAATAGCAAAAGTCAGAATTTTAAGTATTGTACATTAAACTAAAGCAACATAAACACAAGTCTATATAGCAACAAAAACATTAAGCATTAGCTAAAGTAATATAAACACAAGTCTAGACCATTACAAATTTAAATTCCTAGAAAGTAAAAGTAGTCTACAACGAAAATACTAAGCATTAACTAAAGTAATATAAACACAAGTCTAGACAACCATTACAAATTTAAATTCCTAGCAAGGAAAAGTAGTCCACAACGAAAATATTAAACATTTGATTGGTGATTTGCGTTGTTATCCGCCGATGATCCTCTTACATCCACCGGTGAAATAGGTTCATTCTCTGCATCATCAGACTAAAACAATAAAAATGATATTCGATGAGAAACTTATTTAGATTAATTCCAAACAAGATCGGGAAACATGATTGAATCAAATGTTTCCCTTATCCTAAAGTTCCAAATCAAAGCCTTAGCTTCTTCAAGGAGATGGGAATTCTGTCACGACCTGGAATTCTCACCTTCGGGATTGTAATGACGCCTAACATTTTACTTGCTAGGCAAGCCAACGTTAGAGGATTCTTTAAACCAATTTTTAGTCAATTTCAATAGCAGAATCAATTAAGCTAAATAGATGCTAAAACTGAAATGCGAAATAACATAAAACCCATAATATTTGATACAATACGGATCTGGAGTCACAACTCACGAGCTTCTAAGATTTGCTACAGACAGAGTCTGAACGAAATACAACTGTTCTGAATGAAAAGAAACAGTAAAATAAGGAAACTAGAAAGGGACTCCAAGGTCTGCGGACGCCAACAGATCTACCTTGAGTCTCCGATAAGCAAGTCCGGACTGCCAAGTGTCACAATCAGCTAGGGCCGGTACCAAAATCTGCACAAGAAGTGCATAATATAGTATGAGTACAACCGACCCCATGTACTCGTAAGTGTGGAGCCTAACCTCGACGAAATAGTGACGAGGCTATGACATGACACCCACATAATAAACCTATGCAGATAATAGTATATGTACAAGAAAACAACAATAACAGCTAAACATGTACTATTGGGAGGGGGACATGCTAAACGGGCACAAAATAAAAGGGATACAGCAGAAATGATAACCATAACAGTCAATAAGCTTTTAACCAGTGAAAACAACTAAACACAATGAAGAAAATTGCACGGCATCACCCTTCGTACTTTTACTCTCAACCTCACAATGGAATAATAATACTGCACGGCATCACCCTTCGTGCTTTTACTCTCAGCCTCATAATATAAATCAATAGATACGGCACGGTATCACCCTTCGTGCATTAACACTCACAATATGGCACGGCATCATCCTTCGTGCATTAAGACTCTCTCTTACCACATAACAATGAACAAGTAATAGCAGGGATATAGAATCAATAAGAACAAGCCTTACTTCAACAATGGTTCCGCAATACCAATCTCAACTTTGAAATCAATATTCAATTGTCACAAAGCCCATAAACACGATAAGAACGATCAATTTAGTAAGTAACTAGTCTAAGCATGGATAACAAGATCAAAGTAAGCAATAAACTACAAGGAACAAGTCTCCACCTGCATGCTTTAACCCGATAACAATGCATAAGTACTCGTCATCTCACATATACGTTGTACCCAATATCTAAACATGTAGCAAATAGACAACAAGTCCTAATCCCTCAAGTCAAAGTTAACCACGACACTTACCTCGCTCCAAAAGTCCACTCAAAGCTCAATCCCAGATTTGCCTTTCAAACAAGCCATCAGAACCAATAAAATCTAGCAAATTACCAACCAAATAATTCAAATTAAGCCTTAGGAACTACCCACGATTGCAAAAGATTCAATTTAGGTCATTA